ATGAATTTTATCTTCTAGAGACTTTTAAAACTCTTTAAGAAGAATGATTTATAGCTGAATTTGTTGCCTGTATCTCTTCTAATAAAAAAGATATACTCAAATATAGTAAAAAATATGAATAAATTCAAATTGATTTTATACGAGTTTAAAAAATAACATACCTCCAATTTTTTCATATTATGGAGAATAACATACGCCCTTTCACATGCTACAAAAAAACTTTTTTTTTGTTTGCCCCAACCAGAGATATTAACATTTGAAAAGTGTATATTTTTAGTATACAAACGTCAATAACTCTTGATCGGCGAAAGATATTGACAAGCTTTGTGCAGCAAAAAATTGCGCCTTCTTAAGATCTAAAAGTTATCTAAAGACACCTCTGCTGAGAAATTCGAAATAAGAAAAATAGAGCAAAAAACCTGTTTTTTTAAGAGCCACCCTAACTCAATTCAAGAAAATAGCTCTAAATCGGCCAATTTAAGAGATACAAAAAAATTGTTTTCAACGAAGTTGCTTGAAATTAGCTCAGCTATAACTTTGCCGAAGAATGTATACCTTAATTTATTCAAACAAAAAAGTTAGATATTTGATTTAAATGATAATAAGAACCACCCTAGAATTCATTGTCATAAAAATGAGGGCCTAACTACAAGGAACAACTTTGTAGAAGAGACTTTTAGTCTAAAGTTTCAATTTCAGGCTCAAAACATATCATTCCAGCTAAATCTGCATTCTGTACCACTGTGCAATTACGCGAGTACCGGCAGTATATCTCGCCGAAATTTACATGAATTTTTAGAACGGTGTAGTTAAAAAAATACAACTGTGTCTCGTGTGATAAGAAACTTCAAGGAGCGTCTGAGTGCCTGAAGGAAGGAAAAGAGTGGTCGTAAAAGTGGTCCAATGGGCAGTAAAATGGCCAGGAAAGTGCTGCAACAGTTCAAGAACAGTCCAAACATGTCAATTCGAGATGTCGCTGAAAAGTTCAAGGTGTCAGTCGGTTTTGTGCAGAAAACCATGAAGCGTGCAGCGTTACTTGTTTATAAGGTGCAAAAAGCCCCAAACCGGAATGAAAAGCAAAACATCACTGCGAAAACCCGCACCCGAAAACTTTACACGAAGTTGCTCACCAAATCGTCTTGTATCGTGATGGATGACGAAACTTACTGTCTATCCCAGCTCTTTTGATCACACCTTCTAACGCGATGTTGAATAGCAGACACGAAAGTCCATCACCGTGCCATACCCCCTTCGCGGTTCAAAGGGACTCGAGAGTGTCCCCGATACTCGAACAACGCACATTACTCGATCCCATCGTCAGCTTGATCAATCGCTTAAGTTTATCTGGAGATCCGTACTCTGCCATAGCTGATTTCGATCGATTGTGTCGTATGCGGATTTGAAATCGATGAACAAATTATGTGTGGGCTCATTGTATTCGCGGCACTTCTGCAGAACCTGCCGAATCGCGAAAATTTGGTCCGTGGTAGCATGAATCCCGCCTGGTATTGCTCCACGAACTATCTTGCAAATGGTGACAGGCGGCGGCATATAATTTGGGAGAGTACCTTGTAGGCGTCGCTCAGCAGTGTGATCGCGCGGTAGTTGCAGCAATCCAACTTGTCACCCTTTTTGTAGATTGCCACCTTCGTTTTCTGCTACATCATCATTGAGGTGCTCGTCATGGTACTGCTTCCACCTCTCAATCACCTCCAACTCGTTCGTGAGAAGGTTACTGTCCAAAAGTCCTTGCACATATCGGCTTGTGGCACGTAGCCTTTGCGCGAACTATTTAGCTTCTCGTAGAGCTTCCGTGTGTCGTTTACGCGGCACAGATTTTCCATCGCCTCGCGATCTCGGCCTTCCTGCTGACGCTTCTTCCTTCTGGAAACCGAGTTTTGTCTGTCCCGCGCTTGTCTGTATCGCTCCACATTCAATCTCGTGCTGCATTTTTCTCCTCTACTAACAGTTTGCATTCGCCATCAAACCAGTCATTTCTTCGGTCCGGGATCGCAGTAGCTAGTGCTGCTGCAACAGTACTACCTATTGTGGAACGGATGTCCCTCCAGCCATCTTCAAGAGTAGCTGCGCCAAGCTGCTCTTCCGTGGGTAATCCAGGGCAACTCCGGTGTCCCATAATTGCTCAATGTTGGGTCGCGGCGTTCGATTTCGGCTGTTTGGCCGGATTGCCGGTCTGTACATTGCCTCCCGTCCTATCTGACCGTTCATGAAGCCGATGACGTTGCGAACAGCCGTCGTACACCTGCTCATGCTGCGCATAGCCCACTTCTTTCTCTTCGTCGGGTCTCCCTTCGTGTGGGCAGTGTACGTTGATGATGCCGTAGTTGAAGAAACGGCCCTTAATCCTCAACTTGCACATTCTCGCGTTGATCGGCTGCCAACCAATCACGCGTTGGCGCATCTTACCCAGCACTACAAAGCCGGTTCCCAGCTCGTTGGTGGTGCCACAGGTCTGGTAGAAAGTAGCCGCTCGATGCCCGCTTTTCCATACCTTTTGTCCCGTCAAGCAAAGTTCCTGCAGTGCTACGACTTCGAAGTTGCGTGGGTGAAGTTCGTCATAGATTAACCTATCGTAGAAGACCGCGAAGACTAGCGATTTGCAGTGCCATGTTCCGAGTTTCCAATCGTAGTCCTTATTTCGTCGGGTAGGTCTGTCTAGCCGGGGGAACATCGTGCACAGCTCTGTTTAGAGTCCCACGCTGGCACTAGGACAGTGATCAGCCCCTCCTAACGTGGTGAACAGACGCTCGGGTTTGGTGAAACAGTACCTCTATCACCGTACTATGGTTACCGCGCCAGTGTTCGCGACGCATCTCTTCACTTTGCTATTGCCGGACTGGCAACATTGCCCAGGCTACGCCACCCAGCTGTGTCCATGTTTATCATATGACTCGAGGAGGCGAGAGGTAGCAACTTGCGAGACCAGAGCTAGGTATTCGCTCCTTCAACTCACCATTTTGTAACCCCAGTATTCAAATGATCTCCAGCTTCAATCGAACATTTCAGTTAGATTAAGTCAAAATTTTCATTTCTACAGCAAAAATCTCCATATCTGCTTAAAATATAAAAAGTCTTCGGAAGTCTTCTTCGGTTTCATCATATCTACAAAAATCTTCACTAAACATGACATGTTTAATCTTTTAATTTTGTCGAACCTATTAACGGAATCCCTTATGAAGAGCTTTTTGAGTTTGTTGATTTATTTCACCAGTGCCAAGTACTCAACACCACTGAAAAATCCATCTTTTATCTACGACTTATATACTATTCAATAGGTACTAAAAATCAACAGGTATCCAACTGCCATGTCACATTTACCTGGCCATTTTCAAAATGAAGACATGTCTTCAAATCTGGCGTCCCTTAATCTCAATAAGAAAGTTTGACAGGGATCGCTAGCGTTGGTTCTCCTTTGTTTCTCTTGTACTGGACCCATAAGCGATTTTTACGATTCGGCAACCTGGTGACCAGACTTTAATCAGCAGCTGATTGATGAGGTGCTGACGAAGATTACCCAAGTAATATTTAACGGTTTATGAAGTACTACAAGGCTTCTATAAAACAACATTCATAAAATCCTGTTCAAGATAGCTTTGCCTTTATTACATCCACCAAAACCTCATTAAGACCAAAATCTGTCTAGTTGGCCTACCCTCAAGAAGGTTCTAAAGAGTGTATTATCGATTTTTATGTTTGTGTGGGGATGAGGGGATTTCGATTTGCTGTCATTTCGATTTGCTGGACTTTGCTGTGGGAGAGAGGTAAGACTATTCTAAAAATGTTGTGGACATCTAACGGAAACTGCTAGGCAAGCTTTCGAAGCTACAATTACAAAGAATAAAAAGCTGTTCGGATGAAGTTTTGCTTCATTTTCACGCACGTAAAAACGCGGCTTTTGCGTCCAAGCCATCATCCCCATTGGTCACCACCTCGGTTCGCACATTCGTCCCCGTTCGGGGGTTCGTTGTTTATTCATGGCGGCGTCAAATTTAAATTTTTATAGCCTTGCGATGTGACTGGACGAACGAACATGCATATAATTCTTCTCGGGTGTATGTTTTTAACTTTATTTATTTTAGTCCGTGTTTGGTGTTGTGCCGCCAGCGAGCGACGACATGCATAAAATCGACTTATAGCGCACCGCCACCACGGCAAAGAGGTGTATTAATTTACATGCCTGCCCGTGTAAGGTGTACCTGGAACCGAATACACTCGCCGTTGGTGTTCCAGTTGCTTCTTGAAACATTTTTCTCGTCATTCCGTAGTAAATCGATTTAGGGCATACACAAACCAATCAATGACGTTGCCGAAAAAAAAACGTTCGCCAAAAGTATCAATTATGAACTCTCATAAATTATTCATGGCTGCAAATCTGGTTATAGCGATGAACGCAAATACAAGTTTGATTAAATTCCAGTTTTGCAAATTAATACCTGCATTTTTTTTCGCAAGGTGGTAGTTATATTATTTGCATTTAGATGAACGGGCCCCGACCTGATCAGCAGCACTGACATCTGACATTGAACTGCGCCGCCGCCCGTAAGTATGCAATTTTTCATGTTTCGCACTCGACTTTTGGCGCGCAGTTTGAAAGTTTATCTTACTCTTCATCTGCAATGCAGATACACACAAGCTTAGGGGGTGGAAACCGGTGTGTGGCCTCTTCTCTAACTCGATACAAGAGATGAAGTCACCTACCATAAATTACTGGCCTACGGTAGTCTCTTCTCTATTGCTATGTAGGTGCACTGGGTGCATCTCAAATTAAATTATCACCCCTCGGCTTTGCAAAGGGCTGCCAGAGGTCTCAAACGTCAGCAGTAGTGGTGGCAGCAGTCAACCTATTAGAAATCACCATGACTTGGAAGACACACTGAGCGAATGATGAGCGATTATCTTCTACATTGCTCGACGACGACGAAGGCATTCCTCGTCCATCTACAATGCATGCAAATCCGTCTCCCAGTCAGCAAACTCACCTGTCTTGCAGCACGACGATCTTCTCCTTGCCGCTGCCGAGCCACGAATCGATGTGCTTGCACAGCTCACACAGCTTCTCCAGGCTGACGGTGGCAATGCACGACTCCAGGTCGAATATCCGGTAGTTCTAGGGGGAGAATAGGAGAGAATCGAAATGGGTTAAAAAATGGTTGTTTCTGTTGGACGACGAATGATTCCTCCGGGTGCCGGAGATTGGCGCGGTTTGATTGAGTGATTGAATAATGGTTAAGGGCGGTGTAATTAATTTCACTGCCCGTTGTTGCTACATGAAGATGGTCAGTTGGATCGCCGGTCAAGTGTGAGAAATTGAAATGGGAAAAAATGGAGGAATGGTAGGAACGTAGATCAGAAGTGAATAGAAATAGTTGGAAGTAGATTGCAAAAGTGTATAGGAAACTGTCAGATCATTAATTAAATATATCAGGAGATAATTTTGAATGGGGTTTCGTCGAAGTAGGAGCTTTTTACATGTTTGGAGAGCTTTGTTGAAGTTAACTTTGTTCAATTTCAATCCGGGGCCTTCAGGGCACTTTGCTAAAGTTTAATGAACTTGGAGTAGATCAGGAGATTACGTAGAAGTTTAGGAAATTTTGCAGAACTTAAAGGGAACTTAACAAAAAATCAACGAAATTCTTAGAACTTCAGGGAATCTCGTAGAAGTGCACCAAACTTCATAGTATTAATAAGCAACTTTGTAAATCTTCATAGAAGTACAGGAAATTTTGGTAAACGATAAGCTGAATTGATGTCCTAACGATCATATAACGCGAAGGAGCTTGGGATTGAACCCATGATATTCTGCTCAGTAAGCACTAGGTAAACGAGCTCCTTCTATTACAACACACCAATGATTGATTTGTTGTTATTCCTATGCATTCACTTTAACAAATAAAGCGATTAACGAATCTTGAATGTGGAGGGGTTTGAGATTAAACTCATGATGTTGTACTCAGTAAGCAAAAATGGTCGCTCTAAGGCCACCAAGCCCCTCATATCATATCATACAAGCTACGATCGCGTTGTTATTGCAACCATTCAAAACCGGCCCCTACGGTGACGTTGATAACGATGTTAAGTTTCACAAAACACACGATACTCAAGCAATGTTACTATAAGCCTCTTGATTATGATAGGGTTTAGGATTTACTCAAACTCAAACTCGACGCAAGTGCCCTTTACACAAGAATAAGCCTCTACGACCTTTTAAGCCTGGAGACGAAACAGCTACGAAAAAGCGCTTATGTCCTCATGCCGTTCGCACGATGGAACTGGACATCGTATTCCTGCACGAGGTGGAAAACGATCAGCTTAACTTGTCCGGCTACAATGTTGTCTGCAACGTCGACCAAGTAAGGAGAGGAATGGCTATTGCTCTCAAAGAGCACATCAAGTTCTCCCACGTAGAGAAGAGCCTGGATGGAAGACTACTAGCGCTGTGTGTACACAACACTACCCTCTGCAATGTGTATACCCCATCGGTTCAACAACACACTGCCCATAATCGCATATCATTCCCATATGGATTTTCGTCAATTTTGAGATAACAACGCTATCAATTGGCATCTACTTTCATATTATTCTTTGCTCGACTGTCGAGCTGTTCAGTCCGTATTTTCGCTCGAGTTCTCGATTCGATTTTGTTTCGTTTTGTGCTGTCGCGTTGCGCCGTGGAAGTGTCGCCACCTTCTCGCGTTCTGGCAAGTTTAATTGAACTTGCAAACACGAAACAAATGGTGCGTAAGCGTGCCAATGAGCCAGCAGCGGGCCCTTCAAAGAAGGTGCTAATCAAGCCCAGCGCGTCGCAGGATGACGCCGGAAAACGAGTACTGCAAGCCAACCAGTATGCAGTACTCCCGGAAGAAAATGGCGATGGTGACGCCGTTCCCATTGCAAGACGAGAGCGGATTCCCAGAGCGGCTGGGTGCCGAACTGGCAAAACACAAGCTGCTGCCTCGCTTCAAGCTTTGCAGCATCGGTACCAAAATCATGTGCTCCAGCCTGGAGGAGTACAAACAAATAGCATGTTTCCTGAAGAACAACAACGTGGACTTCTTCACGCATGATCTGCCATCGAGCAAGCCACTGAAGGTGGTTTTGCGTGGATTACCGTCGTTCGAGGTGACTGCGGTGAAGACCGCAAGTGGAGCGGCTTGGGCTCCAACCTGAGGCCGTGTTCCAGATGAACCGGCGTCCCAACGAAAACACCAGCTTCCGTGATCAGTTGTTCCTGGTGCATTTCACGAAGGGATCCACCAGTCTTGTGGCTCTGAGATCCAAAATCCGGGACCTGTTTCAGGTCATCATCAGTTGGGAGCATTACAAACCCCAACATCGTTATGTAACGCAGTGTATGAACTGCCTCTCATATAACCATGGCACTAAAAACTGCCACATGAAAACAAACTGCGGCAAGTGGGCTGGAACTCACTCAACTGCGTCCTGTGAGCAAGTCGATGACATCGAGCCAACGTGTGTCAACTGTGGTGGAAACCACCAAGCCTCCAATCGCGGATGTCCCAAGCGAGTGGAGTTCATTAATATCCGTCGGAAGGCCACAATCAACAACCAGCTCGGTCACCTCCGTAATCATCGTTCGCCTCCTGTACTAACGGAAGTCCAGTACCCAGCTCTCCAGCGCCGTCGACATGTTCCGAACCTAGCCCCGCTTCCGCTCAACAACCAACAAGCCAATCCTGCGAGCATCAAAATGGTTCCCAACAGTCGGACAGTTCAGCATCGTCTCGCTGCTGCTGCGGCCCAGCCAATTCCAAGACTCGATCTGAACAGCTTCATGCTGCCTTGTCACTCGTCACCAAGTATGGACCGTGAAGCTATAAAAATTACAAATTGGAACGCTTGCTCACTGACGAACAAGCATAGAGAGCTACTCGATTTCCTCAACACCAAGGAGGTCGACATTGCTATCATCACCGAGACGCATTTGAAGCCCGAACTGAACGTATTCCTTCCCGACTTCCGGCTTGTCAGACTTGATCGCACCTGCTCTGGAGGTGGAAGAGTGGCCATCGCTGCAAGACGGAACATCATTTGCCGGCTGCTACCAAACTTCCAGCTGAAAACAATTTAAGCCATCGGAGTGGAGGTGAGCACATTACTTGGCCCAATCACCATCATCGCGGCCTACTGCTCTAAGCAAACCAACATCAGGGACGGGTCGTCAGTGGCCCTCCGCAAAGACATCATCAAACTCACCCGGTGGAGCGGGAACTTTATCATCGCTGGCGATCTGAACGCAAAACACCAAGCTTGGGGCAACGGTCGGAGTAATAGAAACGGCATCATCCTCAATGAAGACCTGCAAGAGGGCCACTATACCATCTTGGCCCCGGACTCTCCCATCCGGTTAAGTCGGTCTGGGGTCCATGCGACCATCGACATCTTCGTAAGCAACATGGGACACAACATCTCGCAACCTGTGACATTCCAGGAGCTGAGCTCGGACCACTACCCGGTGGTGGCCGAAGTTGGATCGTCGGTAAACCGATTCGAAGCTTCCCGGTGCAACTACCATCGAGTCAACTGGGCGCAATATCAACACTGCGTCGACACACCCATCGACTACGATATCCAACCGGGGATGTTCGCAGATGATGACCGGTGTCTACAAACCATCGAGGAGGCGATTTCCCGGGCCAGGGAACAACACGTGCCAGTATCCAGACAGGTGAGTAACACTCTGAACCTTGACAGCCCTACCAAAGATCTCATTAGACTCCGTAACACCATTCGTAGGCAGTACCAGCGTACTGGCCTGCCTAACTTGAAGACCAATTGTAATCGATTAACAAAGATCATTCAGGCCAGGATGGTGGATCTCAAAAATAACGATTTTGCTAGTAAGATCCGCTCTCTCCCAGGTTGTGCTAAGCCCTTCTGGAAATTCTTAAAAACAAGCCTAGGCTCATTCCACCACTGACCCCACTGGATTGTCCTGGCAACCCAGTGGTTCATCTGATAACTCCTGAAGAGAAGGTTGCCGCGATAGGTCAACACTTCGTCAGCTCCCATAATGCTGAAAATGCAACCAATCTTCTTTCCTAACATTTTTCCAGAGGAATCCGAGATTACGGCTGACGAACTGTTGGCCTATATTAAATCATCTAAACACATGAAGGCACCAGGTTTCGACAACATCCTGAATTTGGAACTCAAACACTTGAGTTCCAGATTCTACAACCATCTGGCACTGATTTTTAATCAGTGCCTCAGACTTGGCTACTTCCCCTCGTGTTGGAAGTCAGCTAAAGTCATACCCATCCGGAAACCTGGGAAGGATCCGTCCTCTCCTTCAAGTTATCGACCAATCAGCCTTCTCTCAGGGTTATCAAAACTGTTCGAAAGAGCACTGTACCACCGGCTCCTAACATCTGCCGATGAAAACAACTTGTTACTCGAGGAACAGTTTGGTTTTCGGAAAGGCCGTTCGACCGTCCACCAGCTGACTCGAGCAACAAACATTCTCAGACGGAACAAGTCTGCTTCGAAAACATCTGCCATGGCGTTGTTGGACGTTGAAAACGCGTTCGACAATGTCTGGCATGATGGCCTGGTGTTCAAATTGCAGCAGTACGGTCTTCCAATCTTCCTAGTGAAGATCATAAACAACTATCTATCAGACAGGACGTTCCGAGTCTCTCTGAATGGCATCACAATCAGAACAAGATCCTTAGGATGGTCCTAAACAGTCCCCCGCGGACTAGAAATTCTGAGATCCACCTCCTGGCTGGAATTCAGACATTAGAAGAACGGAGAGTATTCATCCTGGAAAGGTTCAGAGACACCTGTCTGAGATCAAATCATCAGATCATACGTGATCTAGCACGTTAGGTTATACTCGTAGTTAGGTAGGTTTTCACTTTTTTCAATTCAACTTTTAGGGGAGAACTAGAAGTTTGGCCTCTTTTTATCAGCTGCTATGAGTACACCACAGCTGCATGCGGTTTCACCAACACGGATAATTTGAAGATACTTCAAGACAGTCTACAGGGTCTTGCTAAGGAAGCCGTCCAAAGCCGCTACTGATACCTGGTTCGGTGCCCGAAGTAATGGATGACTTACGCAAACTCTTTGGCAATCCGGAAAAGCTACGCAAGACGCTAGTAGCGAAGGTTCGAAGGCACAATCACCGAGATTATACAAACTTGAAACCTTTCTATACTTCGGGATCACCGTTAAGCAACTCTGCGACCACCTCGAGGCAGCTGGACTGCAAGACCACTTGTGTAACCCAATGCTGGTACAAGAGCTGGTCGAAGATCAGTCGATGAGATTGAACCTATCGATATCCGCCAGGGAAAGTACGACTAAGCATCAACTTTCACATGCGCGTACCGTTAGAGAACTTGTATTACCACAACAAAGCATTCGATTTGACGAGATCGCAGAACGTTACGGACATATGCGAAACCTTCCAGTCGTAGACTACCATGGAGAAGCACCGAGGGTGCTAATAGGATTGGAAAATTTACACCTTTTCGCCAACAAGGAGTTCCATGACCTGTTGGGTGTACAGTATACGCTAGAGGAGTTTTGTACGTCGACTGTACCTATCCTAGAGTCGGACGAAGACCGGCAGATTTCGCTAGAGTGTTGTATCTACCGCTGAACGTCGTTTTGAATCCCAAAAAGCCAGGAAAGGTGCACCTGACATGGGATACTGCGGCAACAGTTAATGGAGTGTCGCTGGATTCCAATTTGCTCAAGGGTCCCGACATGTTAAATAGTTCACTCCCTGCTGTGATTTGTATGTTCCGCGAAAAACCGGTTGCCTTTGGTGGTGACGTGCGGGAATGACAGCGTAGATACTGAGGAAGAAGCTATACGGCGAGCTAAAGAAATCCGTTTCATCCATTCGAATGCCGGCTTTGAAATTCGAAACTGGGCATCAAACTCCGATGACGTATTGCGGCATCTAGGTGAGTCAAGGTCAAATAATATGATTCACCTCAATCAAGACAAGTCCGTCGATCGATAACGAGTGCTGGGAGTAGTTTGGGATACGCAAGAAGACATGCTGTCATACTCGGTTCCATCTAGTAACGTAAGGATTTGTAATAGGTTAGAGCGTCCTACCAAAAGAGAAGTTATCAGCACGGTAGTGTCTCTCTTCGATCCGTTGGGTCTGCTGGCACCTTTTACTGTGCTAGGAAAGATGCTGATCCAAGATCTTTGGCGTACGGCATGTGAATGGGATGAAGCTATCGGCGAGATTGGTAAAGATTCCAAGGTCCTGCTTCGGGAGTATCCAGTCGGATCGTTTTAGACCGATTCAGCTACACCTATTTTGTGCCGCAGGTGAAAATGCATTTGGTTGTGCTGGTTTGCTACGGATTGATGTCGATGGGGAGTACAATGTTCTTTGGTGATCGCCCGATCCAAGCTAGCCTCGCTGAAACAGCTTACTATTCCTCGTTTAAAACAGCAAGCAGTGGTACTGGCAGCACGCATGTCGAAAAATATTCGACAAATTCATTCCCTTGAGATTCAGCAAATTTTATTTTGGAGCGATTCACAAGCTGTACTCTCCTGGATCCGTTTGGGCCAGCGAAAATATAAACAGTTCGTCGGCTTCAGAATCGGTGAAATATTAAGCCTATCCAACTTGTTAGATCGGCTCTGGATACCATCTAAACTGAACATTTCTGATTGTCTAACTAAGTGGGGGCGCTATCCTAGATTACATTCCACAAGTCCATGGTTTCGGGAGCCAGAATTTCTGTACATGGCCGCAACAAGCACTCCCTCACCCAAACACGAAAACAGAACTGAGAGCCATGTTCTTGTTCCATGACATCGCCCTGGTGAAACCGTTCTTCAACGCTAACAACATTTCGAAATCGAATTTATTTGTGCGAACAGTAGCTTGTCTCTTCAGATTCGAGTCGAATTGTCGGCTGAAGGCTCGTAGACAACCTATCGAAACCTTACAACCTACGGCGTCTCAAGAAAGGTGGATCATGACCAGAATTCCTTCGGTTAGAATTCCCCTACGACAAGCAGAGTTTCAGAAGGCAGAGGAGGTTTTGTTCAAGATGGCACAAGGCGAATCGTTCGGTGACGAAATCAAGACACTACGGAAGAATCACAGACAAACAGACATAACACATTGAATATTTTTCACTGTAAAACATCGTCGCAAAAACATTACCGCCATCTGTTGAGTACACTGTGGTGGGTAGTACGCTGAACAGATGGCGGTAGTGTGTAAACGTCAAACGCAAGGGAATTGACTATGCGCGCCACAGGTGGCGGTACTACCAACTACGATACTTTTAAATTGACCGTTAAATGCTCGTTCGATGAACAACTTGCGAGTGTTATGTCTGTTTGTCTGTGGAAGAACCAACAACTGGAACGCAATAATTGGATTCCGCTGCCACGCGACAGCACTATCACGGAGAAACTAGTGCGTAGTTTCCACGAAAGGTTTGGGCACGCTTTCTGAGAGACTGTGAAGAACGAGATCAAACAGCGGTTCTTAATTCCATTCTTAGTTCGCTCATCACAAAAGTTGAGAAAGGATGTGTCTGGTGTAAGGTGAAGAAGAATCGACCAAGTGTGCCTCGGATGGCTGCACTCCCGGTGCACCGGTTGACTCCATACCAGCGACCGTTTACATATTTGGAGTCGACTATCTTGGTCCGGTGGATAACGGCACTAATCTAAAGGCAGCCAGCAAAGAAATCCTACAGCAGATTCGAGAAATGAATAAGGAATGCGCAGAAGAGTTCACCAGTGTACAAAGCTGCTGGCACTTCAATTCCCCTTCCGCCCCGTGGGGTTTGGGAGCGAATGGTGCGCACAGTGAAGCAGGGAATGGCAGCATTGTATGACGGTCGAAAACTGTCTGACGAGATTCTTCTGACCACTCTATCTGAGGCAGAAGATATGATAAATAGTCGGCCCCTTATGTTCGTTTCTCAGAGTTCCTCAGAGATTGTAATCACTCCAAATCGTTTCGCCAAATGAACCGCAGGAAAGTGTGCCACCAACGAATATAGCTCAGGCTCTACGAGACTCGTACAAACGGTCTCAGCAACTATCAGATTAAATGTGGAAGCGCTGGATAAGGGAATACGTTCCTACCATCAATAAGCAAACGAAATGGTTTGGGGAAGCGCAACAGTTGCAGAAGGGTGACTTGGTGTACGTCGTTGAAGGAGATCGCCGAAAGGCTTGGGTGCGAGGAGTGGTCGAAGAACCTATCGTGTCCAGTGACGGACGGGTACGTCAGGCTATGGTACGGACCAGTGTTGATAAAAATCATTCCTTCTACACTCAACTTAGCTGAAAACGAAGACAACCTTAACAGATAGACCAACTACTTGCATGAATCTGAATTTTGACATAACAACATTCTCCTGATCAAGGCAACCTCTGAGTATCGTAGTCAACATTAAATTTTGTTTTTCTTCATTCGTGACTGGATGTTGCCTCCGTTGTTGTCAATATTAATATTCGTCTTCATCTTGGTGAGGATGATTTTGAGGATCAAATCCGGAGAACTTTGAGATTAAGGCGTAATTGCTTTTGTAAACAAACACGACAATCGCCGATTTCTCGCCAATTAAAGCTCAATCTATAAAAAATAACGGCACAAACAGGTAGAGAAAAGATTCCTCTATCATTTGGTATGGTTTGTTCGCGAGATTGAGTTTCAGTTTACGAGAAATCGGCGATAGACGTGTTTATTTACAAAAGCAATTACGCCCAAATCTCAAAGTTCTCCGGAAATGCAAAATGATTATTTTCATTTTACACAAATATAGTGCGTACGTAACAGCGAAGATTTTCATAACAAACGCAATTCATCTACACTGGGTTGAAGCGTGTGATGGTAAATGATAAAAATAGACACTGGTACGGACTAACAGCGGAGTGTTTAAACGGGCAACTGCCAAGTTAGCGGTACTGGAGATTTCAGATGGTAATCCAGATCCAGTGGATGATTCTGGATCGGGTTTACAGGTCGGGGATTTGTTGCGTACAACGTCACTGGGCAGCTGCAATAAATCCTAAGATAAGAGGTGACAATACGGGGGCAAACATGAACCACTTTTCTGTCAAACGTGAACCAGCTCGTGATTGACTGATTTGATGGGCGTAAGATAGAGATAGACATAGATAAAGATAGAGATAGAGATAGAAATTAAAGAGTAAGAAGCCAATTGTCACCTCTTCTCTTAGAATAAATCAAACTTCCACGAGGGATCGCCGACAACTTAACTTCGGTCGTGACGTCTATCAAGTTTAAAACGTCAGATAGAAGAATAGGACAGAGGCAAGTCACGATTTGGAATTATAGGTTCAATTTGATAGTAGCTATCCTAGTTAAACTAAATTTATCACAGTTTGAATTGAGAAATACTAAATTGTCTTAAAACTAACTGAAGAAAACATTTTTCAACGTCGAGCGTTTTCGACTAACAAGATCGAGATTGTATTGAAGCCGGGTGGACCTAAAAGTGGTACTTGCTGCGCCGATTGCCTGCAGGAGGAAAGGAAGAAACTAAAATTCTTCAAGCTGCTAACCGCAAAAGGCTGCTGTGAAGAAGTTTTTTTTCTACATAAGATCCGACCAGGTTGTTTCGAAGCTATTACTTTGCTCGTAAGTTCCGTTCTCTCCCAGATTGTATTAAGCCGTTCTGGAAACTAACCAACATATTTTTAAAAAAATAAGCCGAGGCCCATTCCACCACTCGTTTCACTGAATTGTTCTGATGGGTGGTTCATCTATTAACTCCTTATGGTAAAGCTGCTGAGATAGGTCAACACTTCGTCAACTCCCATAATCTCGGGCAACACATCAAAAGTCCATACGCTACCGGGGTTGCTGAAAATGCAACAAACCGTCATCGGATTATCTAATGTCTAATCTTCCAAACACATGAAGAAGTTAAAATTATAAAATTCCCCAATCGATAAAATGTAATGCATCCTTTAAAAATATACATATGAGTTCCCTGATAATATTTTCACCCATCGTAGATCAATCCCGAAGCCTTACCTTCTCGTGCTTCTGCTCCAGCATCTCGATCAGCTCCCGTTCGTGTTCATCGGCAAAGCCCGGACTGGTGGCACCGTTCCGGGATGATCTCCGCGTGGGCAGTATCGATGCCAGTATCCTCTCGGTGACATAACTTAGCCTCAAGGTAGTCGCCGTCGATCCTGGTTCCTGATAGGATCCAATACTGTGATAGGGCGATGATTGCTGCTGCTGCTGGTGGTGGTACTGCTGTGACGGGTAATTATGCTGATAATGGCTGCTACCGTTGGGGATGCTGTTGTTATTTACATGATTCAGGTTACTGCTGGTGGTCTGCCGGGTCTGTTGATGTTGAACCGGGTGGTTCGGGAGCTGCAAAGAGACAAGAGGGAAAATTCTCATCAAGATCTGATGTGAGAGATACGGAATCGATTCAAAAGTAAACATTCGAACAGGTCGATCAATGAACCTCACGTCTTCATCGAAGGGAACGACAACATGCCGAAGAAACCAAGCAAAACAAAATAAAATTGAGGCGAATTTATTTGATCAACTGAAATTGCTTACATCCTCAAGATAATTTTGCCGTCGTCGCATGGCGAGCCGGCTGGGTCTGAGTCTGAACAGCAGTTGGTTCGATTCCGGTAACATTGGTATTCGGTGCCCCTCTCTGTGGTCATAGGGAAATGAAATGAAGCGAAATAATGATCGTCTTCGTGGGATCAATGGCCTTTTCTGGTGTTGTTGTTGTGTCGCCCCTTCAGGAGAATTTTTAAATTCGACATGATTACGTCAGCTGTGCCAAAAAAGGCTGCAATCCTTGAGGAAATTCACACGGATGTGCCCCGTAGGAAGTGTAACTCGAGAACAGCATACTACCAAAGACCTCCCGCAAAGAATAGCGAGAAAGGCAGAGAGTGAGAGGTGCCTGCTTGGATGTTCAAATTATGCGCTGAGATCGTGACTCAAGCAGGCCTTGACGACTGGAAGCATAAATCACGACATTTGAGAAGCGCGTTGCGTGTGTTGCTCAAAAGCCATGAGGCGTGATGCCCCTTAAGAGAATAGCTTTTAGTTCAAAAAAGGCAACCACATAATTATCCGATCGCAACAAATCGCAGATTAATCAAACAAACGTGCTACAATCTAATGATGACATTAGGCCCGGCCTGGCTGGTTAATGATACGACCCCGGCGTATAAATAATAGCCAACGAATTCATCTTCCACGGCTTCCATCTACCGCACCCGAACCATTCGCTATCATCATCACGGAGTAGATGACTATAGTTTCAAAGCGTTGAAAATGGCAAATTATACACCTCGGGAATGACCAACGATATTCGGATTCGGAGAAACTCGAAAAACTACACCTCTGATGACCGCTTCCTTTTGTCGCCTTAATTGAGAAACTTGTCGCACAGTCGTTCTCTTCCAACTTTTCCCGCGCATAATTAATGAACTACAATCATCAATAGCCGAGCGCCACGATTTGCTTCAGTTGAAATTCGCATAATACGCAGTTGATTGGTACCAGGTAGAATCGAACACAATATAATTGCAAAGCCACATTAAAATTCAATTTGAACAAATTTGTCCCTATAAGCAAATCGTAGTGTCGTAATCCACCGCGTTGCAAGAATCCTCACTGTATGAACTCGACACTTCGAAGGCTCTTTTTATTGGAGTCCACTGTTCCGTGTGTGTGACGACAGTTCTACATTTGACTGACCGTCGTCCTCCGGGTGGTGGCCCTCTCATCGCGCAGGAGGCGTTGATTTACCTTCGACGGTCGGTCGTCGGTACGATTGCATCTCATTAGCAACGGACTCACGTCGTCAAGCACGACGGCACGACTGCTGAAGAAAGGAGTCTTCATCTTCACGCTGCTCATGTGGATATGCGCCGAGTGATTCGAGTGTCTCTGACGATCACGTGTGGCAATCAGAGCAATATGGTAAAGTAGCAACCAAGAGCGAAATTATGACATCCAGATTTAAAATTATTGTGCACGATCTGAGGGCTCTGTGTGCATGAAGGAGTGCGCGTGAAGTTAATCGGAGATTATTAACGTCAAGATTGGGTTGCGAGCGTGAGAAGGTGATGAGTTTATTTGACTTGCGGAGGGATTTAAGCGCTCTTTGTTGGGATTGTTTGGCGGATTTGTCAGAGCAAAGACAAGGTTCAGAATACCGATTTAAGAAAACAAATGTTATTTCGGAATTATGAAATCATTAGATTTTATTGAAGACAACAAATCAATATGATGTCTTCGATTTTATGGTCATATTTTTTATTAGTAAGATACAAAAAGAGATTGTTTGACACATACAACCTGTCAATTTCGCTTCCTCAGGGACACATCGAACGTGTTTGTCGCGAAGCACACAGACGAAAGCGTCACGCAGGCGAGAATACTGAACCGAATTCAGCCCCAAGGTCAAAGATCGCCGCGATTACATCCGATTAAACGCCGCTTCATTTGTTGCGGAATTATTCATCACTCCAAATCGTCCTCATTTATTGGAAAAGTTCTATGTTATTCATGGTGGCAATGCTCTGCTCAACTGAAGAACAGCAAGAAGGTACAGTGTATTACAACTGGGTCTGAGCGTCCCAGTTCAATATTTTCCAGACACGGACAAGTCACGATTATTGCCTTCGCGAAGTGGTCGCAGTCTCTTCGACAGAAGAGTTCCCAAAATTAAGCGTGCCAAGGATTTACCACCATCAAAAAACTGTTTACCTGTATTCCTCCAGCCTTTAAAGAGAAGCCATGGCGTAGCGGCACCGGTGGTGTAGTGGTAAGCGTGATTGCCTCTCACCCCAGCAGGCCTGGGTTCAATCCCAGTCGGCGCCGCCGGGATGTTCTGAGGCAATAACATCTCTGATCACGCCTTCTCCTTTGGAAGGGAAGTAAAGCCGTTGATCCCCGGTTCATGAGTTGATGGGTCGATAGGTAGGGTCCAGATGTGGGAGCAGCCTCCCTGGCGTCGGTAGCATTGGTGCTCAGCACGGAAAACAAGATTGACGGAAAACAAATCAAGGTTAAAAAAGGCAGGGCTTGGGATAATATCGGCTCTTGGTTCGGTCGGTTCTTGGCGATTGATCTATCGAGCGCTTTCTTCCATGTGGTGCTGCATCAGGATTTGAGGCACCTGACCAACTTTTTCACTGGGAACGCCACCTATAGATTTAAACTCCTATTCGGTTTACGTAATTCACCACATATTGTCCAAGAGATTCTGCAGACGGTAGTGCTAGCGGATTGCAATGGAGTGATCTATTATCTCGATGGTATTCTGATCTTCAGAAGATCTAAGGCTGAACACGACAAGAACTTGGAAGCGGTACTACGAAAGCTAAAGGAGCATAACGTTTTGATTAATTCGGTTAAGAGTGTTTTTGGCAAGCAGTCCGTTAAATTTAATGGATCTTCTGACGGCTGAAGTGTCAAAGATAACAAACGGAAAGCCATAGAGAGTTTCCGCAGACCCGAAACGTTATCAGAAGTGAAAACGTTTCCTGGGCCTGATGAACTTTACAAAGCACCTTATTATCAATAGAGCCAGACACAGAGAGACTTAGATTATTAACACGGTCGGACGTATTCTACTGGACACAAGAAGAAGAACAGGAATTCTTGTATCTAAAAAACGAAGCGTTTAAAACAGTAGTCAAGTTGGTGTATTCTGACCATAAGGACAGGATATAGCTATATGTTTTTTTTTCCCTTGGGTTTGTTTTCCGTCGATCTTGTTTTCCGTGCTAAGCACAAATGCTACCGACGCCAGGGAAGCTGCTCCCACATCTGCACCCTACCTAACGACCCATCAACTCATGGACCGGGGACCAACGGCTTTACTTCCCTTATGATTCTTATGGATATTTTCAGTGGAGTAAAAGGATAGTACAAAGTCTGTCATGTTTCACGCACAGTCTGACGTTTGCTTATGGATTTTCTCATGTAGACTGTTCCAGAAAGTATAAGCACACTTTCAAAATAACAAAAAAAGTCATGTTTTTTTATGTTTTAATAATTTTATTTGGCAAATCATATTTGTATTTGTATTTCAAATGATATTTTACTCTCGTTTAATCAACATATTTAATCATAGCCAAGACTCCTAACTTTTCCTCGAACATGACTCATTAGCTTCTGCACAGTGGTACTTCCCACCATTTTGACCACTTTTGGCCAATCTTTTTTTGAATTTTTGGATGTCGTCCGCTGATTTTATTAATTTTCGAAGCTTTGCTTTGGTTAAAGCCCAAAAAGTCTCGATTGGCCGTGCCTCCGGGCAGTTCGGCGGATTCATGGCTTTCGGCACGAAACATACATTTTGACTTTTGTACCATTCTAAAGTGTCCTTTGCGTAATGACATGAAGCCAAATCAGGCCAAAATACTACTTGACCTTCGTGCTGCCTGATCATCGGCAACAATCGCTTCTGGAGACATTTTTTTTTTTTTTTTTTTTTTTTTTTTTTTTTTTTAACTCTTTATTTGTTCCAAATTCAAAATAAATTACATTTCATTTTAACCTAGGTGCTCCAGTTACTGCAGTAACGTACCAGCCTTAATTGTTATGATATATATCTAAGTGTTTTTACATTGTTCATGTCTTGGCAATTCAGTATTTTAAACAGGTTTTTTAACCTGCATGTCAGCATAACAATTGATATCTTTAAACTAAAAACTAAAACTAAATCTTATCTAAGTATAAAGGGAATTAATCGTTGCAATTGAGGATTGCAACGATTTTTGCCTGAAATTATTAATTATTTTGTTGGACATTTGTGCTAAAGTCTCAACATTCGAAATTCTATGTACTTCGGTTGTACTGTACCAGGGAGGCAACTTCAAAATCATTTTCAGAATTTTGTTCTGAATCCTTTGAAGTGCTTTTTTCCTGGTAGTGCAGCAACTAGACCATATTGGCACAGCGTAAAGCATGGCCGGTCTAAAAACTTGTTTAAATATTAGAAGTTTATTCGTCAAGCAAAGTTTGGATTTCCTGTTTATAAGAGGATACAAACATTTGATATATTTGTTACATTTGGCTTGAATGCCCTCAATGTGATCTTTAAAAGTTAATTTTTGGTCAAGTATTAATCCAAGATATTTCATTTGGTTTGACCAGGAAATTGGAACTCCGTTCATAGTGACTAAGTGACTACTACTAGGTTTCAAAAACGAAGCTCTAGGCTTATGTGGAAATATTATAAGTTGAGTTTTGGAAGCGTTGGGAGAAATCTTCCATTTTTGTAAATAAGAAGAGAAAATATCTAAACTTTTCTGCAGTCTGCTGCAAATAACACGAAGACTTCTTCCTTTAGCGGAAATGCCTGTGTCATCAGCGAACAAAGATTT